GTGAGTGACGCAGCCCCTGCCATTCCTCTCCACACTTCTTGTTTATTTTCCATTTCATAGTGGCAAACTGCAAGGTTTTCTAAAAAAAAACAATCCCATTTGACTTATTATCTGGGAGACTACACTTAGCAACCGTTATATCCCGGCCTGGATTTTTCGGCGTTTTGTGGCTTTTTCTTCTCTGCAGAACTTGACTGCCCGATATTTCTGGATCTGGATTTGTTTTGCCGGATCAAACCATAGCTAACTTTTTGATCGCCTCCGTGCTTTCTCGAAAATGCTTTGAGTGGCGGTCAAGCGCATGGCTTCAGAAGTTTGTGGAGTGCGCCAAAATAGAGAATTTTTCGACAAGCGCGAAGGTCCGATCTCGTTTTAGGAAATGGGACGGGTGGTTGATGGATACGCGGCTCCAACTGTTTGGAATAGAAGGAATGCCGCGTGCACAAGCTAGGTCACTGCGCGGCGATTTTCAACCACATGGCCTTATTTGGAGCTGCCATTGCGGAAATTTCACGCATGACGCCATGTGCGATGTCGTTGCGCGCCACGAAGGCTCTGATCCACACACCAGTGTGGGGACATGTTAGTGCTGTGTAAAATATTTCAATAGGGGTGACTCTACTCAAGTAAGTGTCCAGAATCAGTTTTAGGTTGCTTTGCGCGTATCATTCTAGCTGTGGTGGGGCCTCAACATGAGCCCGATGCTGCTGGGTGTGGGAGGAAGACCAGCTGTATTTTGAAGGGGAAGAGTGGGAAGAGGGTGCTATCACAGGAGGACTGAAGTCACACCCGCTCGACAGCTAACACTCTCACATAAAGCACAAAGGTAGCCCTCGTTATACTGCCATTTTTAACCCCTTCTGGAGCTATGTAACTGATATGAACTTATCTGAGGCCAATACGACTAGTTGTTAACTATTGGGATCTTCTTTTGAAGGCTTCATTCCACGTGTATTTAAATCTACGTTAAAAGGATAAAGGATAAAGCATTTGCCGTTGATCAATCCCTTTTTGGGATGCGGCACGCATTCTACTTCCATTTGTACATTCGTAGTGGCGTTTGAATGCGATGTGGCCTATACAATGACTTGCGGGGCCAGCCGATGTACAAGTCAGTGTTTTTATCCTCCCAGACAAGTCTGGTACCAATTAACCGACCCCGGAGGGATGGAAGGCTTGGTTGGCCCGGGCGACTCACGACCCAGGATTTGATCCCCGGACCGCTCGCGTGGTAAGCGTGCCACTTGCCACTACACCACTTCCGCCCCCAAGAGTTAGATAAAAAAAATTGGTTAGAACATCCAAGAGTTAAATGTAGTATGTGGTATTTCGAATGAAATTTTTCGGTTCAGTTTGCCGAGCGGAACACTCCAGTTCTTTCTCACAGCTGTCAGCAAGTGGCCCCAGCAACTGACCAATATTCCACATCATCTGTGCTTTTTGAACAAGCAGGATAATACAGCTGTGAAATTCCGTGAATAGCTGGATTTTCATGCGTTTTTGTTTTGCTCGCGTCATCAATTTGGCACGATGATGCGACGGTTTAATCGAATTGGGCTTCGAAAACACGGCGTTCATGGCGACATTTCCTCATGTGCGCTCCACAGCTGGCGGATTCTTTCTTATGTTCGCTTATTTATGTCGCATCCAACTACTTTTTTCTCTTAGCTGTTCCCAGTCAACCGCTCAGTCATGTAGACTCTGAACTCACAGGGCCCTTTGCTGCTCAAAATATTTCATATGATGCCGTGGCCGGTCCTGTAGGTGTCGGCGCAGACTGAAGGCGCATACAAGTGTTATTAAAATCTTGGATGAAGTCACTTGCGTGGCGCAACCCCTAACGAGATCAATTGGTCAATCGATCAATTGCCACAAAAGGAAGGATTACTCCAAAGATGCGTACACAGTATCTTTCTCACTAGAGGCACGTGTATTTGGGAAATTCCATACTGCCTCTGCAAAATGTATGGAAAAATTCGAAATGGTATTTATACCAGAGAGTATTGGGTTATAAACATGAGAGTTGTGCAGTAATCATACGGCATCGCTTGACATCAACGTCAAGGGCACCAAAAGCACATGTGGTATTGTTTTTATCCAGGCCATGGGCATGTTTACCACGTGATAGACCTCTCCGCTAGAAAATAGCATATGTGATCGTACCTAAAAAACCTAGTAAAACTCAAGACTGGCTGGGTTTCAGGTTAAAATCTCCGACTTTGGGCTGTCCCGGTCGCTTGGTGTCGGTGAGGATTACTATCGAAGTGAGTTCTCAACGTCGCTGAAGTTGCCAATCGCCTGGTGCGCACCTGAGTGTATCAATTTTCTCAAGGTACGCCACTTCCTGTTGTTTTTTCCTAAAGCTTTCTTTCTATGCATCTCATGTGCTTTTTGATCTTTGCCTGCTCAAGCATTTAATATTTGAACGATATGCGACTGAAAGCGGACGCATGGCGCTATTTTTTTTTACAAATTACCTAACATTTAAATATTTCTATAATTTCGGAGTTTAGTTCACGTCAGCATCGGACGTTTGGTCGTTTGGTGTGACTCTATGGGAGATGTTCTCTTACGGTGAAATGCCCTGGAATGGAAAGACCGGCGCTGCTGAGGTTTATGATCATTTCAAAAATTTGATTTTCGGGTTGGTAGAGGGCCCAATACTCCGGTCATATGGATAGTAAGGCTGATGTCGAGATTTGGCGAATCCAGCGTTTCGCTAGCAAATCGCCGGACACGGGCGTTGCACCAGCGAATCGGCTGTGTACTAGCGGATCGAGAGAAACAAAAGGTTTCGGCGCGTACAAATTCTAATGTTCATGTGTCCCAACTTATTATATTCAGAATTGTTTTTTTCACCGCACATTCATTGTGACTTTCCAATGGGGTCTTATCAGCGAAATTTTAGGTTGGAATTTCTGCAGCATATTTACACCTTCCACAAACATCTTTAAAGGCAAAAGTCGGGCTCAATAAGGGGGTATTATGGCGATTGAAACTGAGTATAGAGATGCGAAGTGGAACGACAGTGGAGAAAAAACTGAGAAAAACCGTCGACAAGGCCGTTAACAAAACCCTCTTTCCCACTAGCAGTGAAGGAGGCTGGCTTGGGGAAAGAGGCACGTACAAACAAGTTTTCTGGAGATGTCAGTCGTTCTATCGGTTGATACGGCAATCAACCTAGCTGATTTCACACGTTATGCCAGCCACGCACCACTTCCGGAGGTGGGCGGTCCTGGATTGACCAGGCGGCCCTGGATTGAAACCGAACGCCCGGGGCCTACAACGGGGTAGTTTTTCAAGGTGGGAAGTTGCTGCAATGTGTGCAGCTACCCACATACATCC